TCCCCCGCCACAGGGTGATTATAAACAGTGAAAAATAGACAGTGGGCAATTTCTTCAGGCAACCATCAGAACTAATTTTATTGGTATCCTATGTTTCATGCAAATGTTGTGTTTTAATTGTGTTCGTTCTTTTCAGAGCTGCGTGGCGTGCACCTTCCCGACTTTCTCGCAGCTTTATCTTGCGTTTCCTACTTGTTGTCTGCTTATGGAGATCAACAGTGTATTCCTTCATGTAAGAAGATTAATGCGCTATCATCAAATGAACAAGTTCAGTCATTTGTACCGATTCAATATGATCTTGGTACTTGTCACGTTTGTTGTTTTCCGGTTCATTTTTGTTGTCTGGATGGAGAATACTGTTATCACTCACAGACAAAATCTCTATTTACCGCATTTCTTGTTTGGTTTTTTTGGAATTAATGGAATGATAACAATCAACGTTTTTCTGTTCATTTTCTTGTGCAAAGCAGAGTTTGGGGGGAAAACGAGATAAGAAAAGAAATTCCAAATGATGTATTAAATGCAGATTCGTTACATTATATGGAAATAAAAGTTGTTGTCACTTGCGACAAGAAAAGTAATTAGCTTCGTTTATATATTTTTGTTTACAAAAGATACACCTTATATTTAACCAATATAATCTATATTATGGATAACGCGCTAAACGAATACTTGACTGATAATTCCGTAAGGTAGCGTTGGATACGCTTCGCGCAATGACGAAATGAAGTTTTAGTAGTAAGAAAAATCCCGGTATTTCATCGATATTTATGTAATAACATCTTTTATTATCCAACTGCAGCGAATACCGTCCAAATAACGGTACAAATATACAGCGATATTGTACAGTTATTTGTACAGTAGAAAACATGTTTGCCGGACAGGTCGGCGCGCGCACGCAATACTGTCACACTCTCCCTCTTTCACTGATAAATTCATTGATTACAGCAGTTGGATGATAAATCTCTAATTATAAGTTTTGGTGTGTAATATCGCTTTATATTTTTACTCGCTGTTTGAATTTTGACTCGCCCTTATCAAATTCTTCAATCGACTAAAAAGACGCCAAATTTGTGGCGCAGTGTTCAGATTTTTGAGTTGGATGCGGCTTGTGTGGAAAGCGGACGAGACAGAGTTTTATTCTGAGAAATATTCCTTACACAACATCGTCAATAAGTCAGTCATACTACAGAATGGTGAGCAACTCAAATGACGTCATGCCTGAAGGCCGAAAACCACAATCTCACACCTACTCACGCCTACGGACCAATTGCTCACTTCAAAGGTTTGAGTTTTTAATATTACAGCCTTACTGGCGAAGTTTCGAAAAATATGTAAGTTTAAACAAATGAAAGAAAAGAACATTTCAAGCAAATAACGGCACATTTTTCCCAGTTTCCCTATTTTCAAGAGAAAAGTACTAGCGACGGAGCCATTTTGGCGAAAAAATCTTCTGAACAATTTTGTCCTTTCTACTTCATGGATCGTAGAGGAGTAATTGTTTTGATATGTGTTATTTCATCTTGTATTCTAAACTGTAAATTATTTGCAAGAGCGTTTAGTTGGGCTTCATATCGCAATATCAAATGGTACTCTATTGAACACGATAAAAACATTAAAAGAATCAGGATATTCTTAGATATTTAAAATTCCCTGAAGTTTCTTCGTTCAGTATCTTCATCCAATTGCTTGTTTGTCTCACCTTCGAGGTTCTGTTGACTAAGATTCTAGATTTTTTTTTCAACATCGAAGGTATTCGTTGTAGCATCATAGTTTGCTGTTAAGTCAAGAGCCATAGTTTTGGTACTGATACTGGTACTGATAGAGACCATTAGATGCCTAATGATCTGTACCAGTAGACTTTACTGAGACTATTCCAACGGGAAAATGCCTTCTGTCGTTACTGGCAATTCTTCCGAGGTACAGTTGAAAGGGAAATCTTGACATCTTGTACGCTTTATGCCTGAAGATATAAGCCACTCACTGGCTGCGAGTAATCATAAATAAACAATATGCTCGGATATTTGTCTGCGGACATTGTCTGTTCCGAGAAGCGAACAGTTTCTGTGAGCTTCGAGGAACAGATAATGTCCAAGGACAAATATCCCAGCATATTTTCGCACCAAATGGAGGCTATTGTGTTTATTATCCTCCAAATCTTTTCCGCAACACGGGCAGTTTTGAAAATTGGAGAATATTCTCGGATATCCCCCAGTTTTAGCTTGGGAATATTCGGTCACGTGACGTGTTTAGACCAATGGCGCACGAGCGAAAATATTTGATGGATTATAACAACTGATAACAAAGCTAACTTATGGTCCGAAGAAGTTGAGTTTTGATTTTTTAGGAATATTAATTCGCAAAAAAGTCACTACGCCATTATGGATGCAAGCAAACGGTAAAGTGGAGAGTCATGAGTGAAGTTAATCAAGAGCACGAGAACTAAACAAGATGAATGTAAAAATTGACGTGAATGGATCAGTGAATGAATCAGTGTCTTAGTATTTAGCTTAGATAACTATAATTGTGGACACTCAAATAATAATAATATGAAGAAAATAAAATAAAATAGAGGAATAGATAAATGAAGAAGAGATATAAATTTGCACGAGGCGAAAAAAAAACTACTACTATAAAAATGGAGCTCTTTGAATCGTGGAAAGCTAGAAATGACATTCAAAGGGTTTAGCCTTCACAAGCGATACAAGAAATATTATTTTGAATCTAACAGACTAACTTACCAATGAATTGTCCAAGTGAATGAAATACAAGCGTGAATAAAAGATTTTAATGTATTTCTGTACAACCACTTCTTGCTCACGGCCAAAAGCGATGCCAATGATGTCTTTACTTTTACGTAATAATGAAGTGTACGAAAAGTTAAAAATGAAATTGATGCAACCACTACATTAGAAAAATTGGGAATCTTTACAAGGATGAGATATTAATATTCGTGTTTTTTGAGAACCTATTTTCTCGTTGGCGATAGGCAACCTAATGTGTTCTTGAACAAATCAACTGTTACACAATATTAACAATCGTATGATCGGTGGTAACACGTCACGGTGAAGCGTTAACATGCGCCACTGAACATTTCATTAAAGAACAGATTTTTGAATTTTATATATTCGCTGACTTTATGTGTGTACAAGAAATGTTATACATTATCTAATTCAAATATTTCAGATAAAACGTCCCTCTTTCCCAAGGACATTTCGCCATTACTGTTTTTCGTTCTTTGATGAACGAGGCTGCTTCTAACTGGTGCATAATGCTAAATCCTATTAAAATAAGGCATTCCTCAACGACTTTCGATCAAAACTACAGTGGGCCATACTGCTGACCGAATATAACAGACACCAGACAGTGTTTTTACAAGATTTTTTTATATTTACAATTCGGATTGAGCGATTAAAATATACAAAGCTACGAAAAATAATGATAAGAAGGTCCTTGTCTTTTTAGAAAAGCGTATTAAGACAGCATAAAAATTCATGAAAAAAAAATTCAAGAGAACAAATGCAAGTTCACTAATTAATTATTTAAAAATTCTCAATTAAACTCATTTAAAGATTGCGGACGCTGACTGAGTGGCCAAATACATTATGATCAACTAGAAATTGATTAGGGAAAAACGAAGATCAGTTTGTAAAGCACAACGAGTACTGTTCAGCATGTCCTCGCTAGATAGCAATACCTTGTTGGAGACTTTGGGTAAAGTAATGAGCTTACAATGTTGATAAACAAAGAAAACAGTAGAATTTCATTAGACTGGGCCGTAACTTGTTCAGCACTCTATTCTGATAAACTGTTGGTTTACATACAAGAATGATATTGATTTGAGCTTAATGAAAACCAAACGAGTAACTCTTATCATGACTAACTGACTGATCAAGAGTAATTCCTGTTAATACTATTCAAGCAATTTGGCTTATTTGCTATCGTTTCTTTGGATAAAAGTAAAAATCTAACTACAAATTTTGTTAGCCAACGTGCTTTTACCACAAACTTTATACTCGATATTATGTTCAGTTTTAAAGCGCCCTTTGCGGCAAAATTAATTTGCCATTTAAGCACAATGAACAAGTTAAGTGACTATTTCCGCCAAGGCCATCTGAAAAAACGCTGTGCAAATTTGACAATTGAAAACCTCAGTTGTCAGCCAGTTAAGCACGTTACTGTACAGAAACAAGAAATCCTGTGACCATCTACCCAGTTATTATTCTAAATCATTCAAAAAACACTACAGGCCAATTTGCAAAGAATTTTCGTGAGTGGACTTCGTCGGAGTAGTCACACTGCAACTGACATAAGTTTTACACCAAATGTTGTGTTGTAAAAGATAAACTAAACACAAAAAGTGTGGTTTTATTAATTTCGCACTTGGTGGAGTGTTTGGTATGTGTTTTTCCTTTTCCATCACAACATCAACACGGCTTCAATTTGGGCTCTTACTTCTTAAAAAGCGTCGACATGAAATCCACTGGTATAGGGAAGACGATAGTGGAGTTCTTCTCAGCTGAGATGGTGTTCAGAGTCTGTAGATAACGAAGCTGCATAGCGGATGGTGTTTCTGACATCACGTCAGCGGCTTCTTTCAGAGAACGTGACGCAGTCATCTCACCTTCAGCCGCGATAACCTGGAAACCAGTTAATAGGATTTTTCAGTCACCTGTTTCTAACAGCTAAGCGAAAAACTTCAGAAACTGCAGAATCCCGCTGCTGGAGCAGTGAAAAACCTAGGCATGAGGCATGAGGCATGAGGCTATCATTTTGACATTTTGACATGTTTACCGAGAGAATGGCGTCCTATGATTTCTGCGACTCCGCCTAGGCTAAGAACTGACCACCTAAAACGCAGCCCCGAAGAAGCCAGGGCAACTAGTCCTTATGTCTCTAAAAAAAACATATCAAAATACAAATGGTTTTCCACATCGGACTCCCAACTGGCAAATATGTAAAACCAGTTAATAGAGTATGTAACATCTCTTTTATTTACTGTTTTTTTACCGTGTGTAAGTAAAGTTTTTTGTTGTTGTTGTGCAAATGAGTAATCCTATTAAAATGAAACCACTGAACGAATTGAAAGGCCTTGAAATCGTTCTTGTTTAGTTCCAAATGGGACTTAGCTAATACCGAAAGTTTGGCGGCAGCAGGTTGGCGCAGTGGTGAGAGCGCTTGCCTTGCACTAATGCAGCCCGATTCCGGCCCGGTGCCATATGTGGGTTGAATTTGTCGTTGGTTCTCGCCTTGCTCCGAGGGTTTTTCCTCGAACTCGTTTTTCCTCCCTCCAGCTAAGGCTAATTTTTGAAATGAAGGAAAGTGTCATTCTCTAGTTAATGAAGCCTTTGGTTCTTAGGAACCTGGCTAAGTACAAGTATTCATGATGAAGTGTACTTTGTACCTTAGCACGAGCCTCTCGCGTGGCTTCTGCCTCAGCCGCCATTACACGTTGCAACTGGACTGGAAGGCGAACGTCCTTGCTGTGAAAAAAAAATGAGAAAACAGCAAACTGTGAAAACATGTGAACAATTTTCGTTGCATTAAACACTTTACTTATCAAAAACCTGTGTTCACAGCTAGTGTCCTATCACGGTACTCGGTCACCGGCCAGAGTGTGAACACAACTGTTAAGTTGTGCAAGTCGCAGGGCGAAGATTTGAGCACGATTATCAATCACAGGAGCTACAAGTGCAAGGTCGAGATCTAGGTCATGGTCAGCTGCAGAATTCGTTTGTCTACACAAACATTTTCCGAGTGCTCACTAAAACTGGTCCATAAAACTTACATCTCCACTCTTTCTACTCGAACTCCCCAAGGATCAGTGGCATCATCAAGGAACAGCTGGTTAAAGAAATAAAACAACAAAAGTTAGATTCATCAAGAGTAAGCTTTAAAATAGACAGTCAGAGTAACTACGTGCATTCCGTGGGTCTTAAAACATACAATTCATACAATACGTCTACTCGAGATTATACACTAATCTCACTAAGATTGATAGCGCGAGAGAAGCCTAACAACAGTTTATAACTGTCTTGTAAACTGATAAATTATTGCCATCGATATGACAGATACACCTGTAACATCTATGTGCAGATTGTGAGCGCAGCATTCTCAGTGAGTTACCTGCAGCATCTGAGTGCACATTGTTGCGCAACATTCCTAGTAAGTTATCTGGGGCATTTGAGTGCAGATTGTTAGTGCAGCATTTTCAGTAAGTTACTGGTTGCATGTGAGCTCAGATTGTGAGAGCAGAATTCTCAGTAAGTTACCTGCAGCATCTAAGTGCAGATTGTGTATGTGCAGCATTCTCAGTGAGTTACCTGCAGCATGTGAGTTCAGATTGTGAGTGCAGCATTCTCAGTGAGTTACCTGCAGCATGTGAGTTCGGATTGTGAGTGCAGAATTCTCAGTAAGTTACCTGCAGCATCTAAGTGCAGATTGTGTATGTGCAGCATTCTCAGTGAGTTACCTGCAGCATGTGAGTTCAGATTGTGAGTGCAG